TTGAATTTTTTTTTTCCTGTTTTGTAAGTACAGTTCTATCAATGGCAGAAAACGCTTAACAAGATTGATACTTTAACAGAAAACATTGAGGTTATGAACAAGTTTAAGGGAGCGCCGCAAGCAAACGGAAAAGGGTTATTTTATCAAAGGTATGTTTATTTGAAAAAAGAATTTAAAAGCTGCCGTCTCGGCATGGGCGTTTTTTGTTTGGAAAATTTTCTATTTTACTGACTGGACGAAACTAATGTTTGAAGTTTTTTCGAGGTTGGCAAGAAAAATGATCTTGATTAATTATTTAAGGGATGTTAAGTTCCATTTTTTTTGGAACATTTTGTCCAATTAAATGAGTCTATGAAAATGAATTAAATAGAAATTTTTTTTCTATTTTTGAATAGTGTTTGAAATAGATCATCAGAAAAATTTTTGTACCCCAAATACTGAATAAATTAAAGGGTTGCAGTTTTTGGGAAAAAAGTCACGGGACATCTGTTTCTTTTGAAAAAAAAGTAGTTCAAAGGTTATCAAAGGGCTTCTCGTTTTACTTTACATTTTTAAAAAGGTTTTAAAAATGTTGTTGCTGAAGCAGCCGCTTTTTGGGGAAAAAAAAATTAAAATTTTTTGATGTAGAAAGTAAAGCAAAAAGGCTTTAACTTGATTTAAAATTTTAATTTTAGAAAAAAAATAGCAAGGCTGAAGCAAAAATTTTTTTGGTTTTTTAAAAACAATGGGGAACTTATGATGAGGGCAAATTCATAAAAAAAAAGTTTATTTCCCCAGCAAAAATTAGCAATTCCAAGTTACCCAGACTATACTGAGAACTATGTTAATAGTCATATGGATATTTGGCATAATTCTAATCAAAATACGGTGACAAAGGGTGTTATTTCAGATGTTAAACCTCAGATACAGCCTCCCCCTGTAATTTCTAATGTATTTTCTTCTGATCCTCAGCCAATACTAGGTACATCTGTACAACAAGAATTTCTTGTGAATCCTAGTCCATTTGGTAACAATGTTCCAAGTCTTGAATGTTCTAACTTGCAGGCAGGAACTAATGAGAATGTTACTCAACAAGCATTTGATAGTATTGTGGGCAATACAGTAGTCCCCTACCGGTCCCTCAAAAAGTTCTTTACATTGTCATACACTCCTGTGTATTGCCCATTATTAATGAATTTTTGAGGATGAAGTCTGTATTCTTTTGGAAATATCAACCACAAAGCATACTAAAATAAGTTTGTCTATATCACAGTAATGTGTTAATGGTTTCCATGCTTAGTTAAGGAAATTATGTTTATACAACCTTGGTCATATTATTACGATGTGGGATTTTAAAGTAAGTCCAATAAGGAATGAAGAAGATTGGAGTGAAAAATACCAGTTTCTCGAAAAAAAATCTAAGTTCAAGGGGGACATAATTCTGGAAATAGTCTTGCTAGAGTATTTAACCTTCTCAAAAAAATGTCGAGTGATAATAAGAAACATATATATTGAAGTTTGAAGTAGATACATTAGGAAATAAATAAGTTATTTAAAAAGACAACATTTTTTCCCCTACAAAAAATCTAAGTTCAAGGGAGGTAATCACTGATATTTTTTGTGCTTAGAGTTATAAACCTTGTCACATTATGATGTGGTTTGATGACCAGAAAACTTATATTTAAAGTTTGAAGTAAACACCTTAAGAAATAAAAGAAACATATAGTGAAAAAGCTGAAAAATTTAAATCAGAAATCTTGAAATTCAGGGCTATTTGTTGCCATAGCAACCAGAATTTTGAACATAGGAAGAAAAGAAAAATATGTCTGCATAATCTCCAGACTGCCATCTACCCATATTTTCAAGTTTCATAAAAACTATTTTCAGTACTTTTTGAGTTATTACTGGATTTCCAGTTTATGTGTTAAATTTGCCCATATTTTCAGAACTATTTGTTGCCATAGCAACCAGAATTTTCAACATAGGAAGAAAAAAAAAAGACGTGCATAATCTCCATACTGCCATCTATCCATATATCAAGTTTCATAAAAATATTTTCAGTACTTTTTGCGTTATCGCGGGATCCAGTTTTGTGGACGGACGGACTGACGGACTGACAGACTGACAGACAGACAGACAGACGGACAGACGGACAGACAGACGGACAGACGGACGGAGGGTAAACCTAAAGTCCCCTCCGGTTAAACCGGTAGGGGACTAACAAGAGCTTTTAAAACTCACCCAGTCTTTAACTGATCAGCTCATCTTAAGTCGTTTGCCCCCTCCAGAACCAAGTGTATTTGATGGTGATCCTTTAAAATATCCTGGTTGGAAGGCTGCTTTCCAAACCTTAATTGAGAAAAGGCAAATTCCGCCTTCGGAAAAAATCCATTACTTACAAAAGTACCTTAGTGCCTCTGTCAGAGAAGTTGTTGCCAATTTCTTTTTGCTTTCATCAGAAGATGCCTATGCAGATGCAAAGGCATTATTAGAACAGCGTTTTGGTGATCCTTTTGTAGTTGCCAATGCTTTTCGTGATAAGCTAGAAAAATGGCCTAGAATTCAGTCTCGTGATGGTCTAAGTTTAAGGCGCTTTTCAGACTTCTTGACTCAGTGTCATACTGCTATGGGTAGTGTAGGTTTTCTTAGTGTTTTAGATGATGAGCGGGAAAATAGGAAAATGTTGTCGAAGCTTCCCGAGTGGGTTGTTAACAAATGGAACAGGTTGGCAGTTCAGTGGAAAGAAGAACACAGGATGTTCCCACAATTTCGTGAATTTATGCGTCTTATAAGTAAAGAGGCAAAAATAGCTTGTGACCCGGTTACTTCGCTTCAGTCTTTAAAGGTTGATCGAGATCAGTTCAGTACGAGGAAAATCTAAGTCTGATAAAAGGAATTGGCCGTAAGTTCTAGTGCATTTCTTTCTTCCCGGAAGGGCCAAAAGAAAGTTACTAAAAATTTAGTATAAGTAGGGTTCCACAAAGAACAAAAAAGGGAATGTGTTATTTTTGGTAAGGGTCATGATATTAATGTCTGTAGAGATTTCTTGCTGAAATCAGTTAAGGAAAGAAAGTCTTTGTCTCGGGAGAAGGGGTTATGTTTTGGGTGTTTACATCGGGGACATGTTGCAAAGACATGTAGATATAAGAAAAGGTGTGACATTTGTAAGAAAATGCATCATACGCTTTTTCATGGGGATCAGTTAGAAAATGGGAACTCAGCTAAACAATCTAATGGGGAAGCTACCTGTAATACAAACCATAAGGAAACTGAATGTAGTACTTCCTTTGTCTCTCATACTGGTTCAGGGCAGATGAGCTCTATGATAGTTCCTGTATATATTTCTCATGAAGATTTTCCAAATAATGAGAAACTAGTTTATGCACTTTTAGATTCACAATCTGACACAACATTTGTCCTTGAAGATACTTGCAAATCCCTGGGAATATCTGGTGTTCAAGTTAATCTGTTGCTTTCTACGATGTATGCAGAAAATAAATTAGTGGAAAGTCGAAGAATTAAAGGTTTGCGAGTAAGAGGCTATCAGCAGACAGAGTTATTGTCTCTTCCAAATACATACACCAGGCAAATAATGCCTGACAAACCCAGTTCACATATCCCCACACCAGACTATGGCTAGAACTTGGCCATTCTTGAATTTTCTATTGCTTGACAAAATTGCACCATTACAGAATTGTGAAATAGGGTTACTTATTGGCTACAATTTTTTTCGTGGCTCTTTCCTGCCTCGGGATGTTGTCTCATCTGACTTAGGTGGTCCATTTGCGTTGCGAACAGATCTTGGTTGGAGTATTGTAGGTATCGTGGATAATGCTGATTATCTTAGTGATTGTGACCCAGTAGGTGTAAGTCATAGAGTAGTAGTTTGCGAGGTAGGTCAATCTTTGTCAGGGAATGATAGTGACTTAAGTGTAGATAGAGTTTTGGTATCTTTCAAGAATAAGGTTAAAGAGGTAATTAACCCTGCTGATATTGTTAGAATGATGAATCTAGAATTCAGTGAAAGAAATACTCATGATGTTACTATGTCCGTTGAAGACAAGAAGTTCCTTGAAATTCTTAAATTAGGTGTTAAACAGACAGATGGTCATTATGAAATGCCGTTGCCTTTAAAAGATAAAGAAGTTAACTTACCCGATAACAAGAACTTGGCTGTTGGTCGTTTAAACCACTTAAAACGTCGGTTGCAGAGTGACGAGCAGTTCTGTAGTCATTATTGTGTTTTTATGCAAGACATGATAAACAAGGGTTATGCAGAGAAGGTCTCAAAAAATAGATAAATACAGAATCCCTAAAGAAAGCCCAACACGGCAAAATTGAAAATGTTGCAGGCTCGGTTTGATTGAGCCTGTTCATATTGGCGGACGGTACTGGAAAGTGCAAGTTTACCGTCCACGCCCCCTAGCCACCGGCTTAAGCAGAATTCAACATTTAACATGAACTGGGTTTAAAATTTAGAATTTTGAAACATCCGCCAGATGTGTTCAATATGGCGGTTATCATGGAACCTTCAATGTGGACACGGTAGTGCCAAATTCATGAAAAGCGGCATATGGTCCCCAAAAGAAAAAAATGGCGTTGCCCTAAAACGAGAAAACAATTTGGGCCAGGCGGAACTAAAATAAAATGGAATTTTGAAAGGGGATCTGAGGTTATGAAGTCTTGATTCTAACAAAAGTGTAGTATGGTATGTACCTCATCATGGTGTTTACCATCCCAAAAAACCAGAGAAAATAAGAGTTGTGTTTGACTGTAGTGCTCAGTTTAAGGGCAAGTCTTTAAATAACTGTCTATTACAAGGCCCTGATCTTACCAATGCACTGATAGGCGTTCTTTGTAGATTTCGGAAAGAACAGGTCGCAGTGATGTGTGACATAGAGCAAATGTTTTTTTCAGTTTAGAGTAAGCCCAGATCAGCGAGATTTGTTGCGATTCCTTTGGTGGGAAAATGGCGACGCCGCCTTTCCTTGTTGTTTGATACTGATCCAGTTGCTTACCGCATGTGTGTGCATCTCTTTGGTGCGGCCTCTTCACCTGGGTGTGCTAATTTTGGACTGAAGCAGATTGCTTCAGATTATGAAGGGGAATTTGGTTCTGACATAGCAAATTTTGTAAGGCGCGACTTTTATGTAGATGATGGGTTAACATCATTGCCTTCAGACAAGGAAGCTATGAGTCTTATAAGTAGATGCACTGAAATGTTAAAAAAGGGTGGACTGCGATTACATAAGTTCCTCTCTAATTCTAAAAGTCTTCTGCAGCATGTTGCTCCTGAAGACAGAGCCAAAGGGTTTACAGATATTGATCTTCTGACTGATAATCTTCCTTTAGAAAGGGCACTGGGGGTTCAGTGGAGTATAGAGTCTGATTGTTTCCAGTTCCGCATTACATTGTCAGATAAACCTTTTACAAGGCGTGGTATTTTAGCAACTGTAAATTCTGTTTATGATCCTCTAGGATTTATCAGTCCTGTTGTGTTAGTGGGAAAACAAATCCTTCAGAGCCTTTGTTCAGATCAAGTAGATTGGGATAGTCCAATACCAGACACTTTAAGATCTAAGTGGGAACGATGGAGGTCTGAACTTGCGGGTTTAAGAAATTTAGAAGTTAAAAGGTGCTTTAAGCCTGAAGATTTTGGTACTGTAGTTGTGACAGAATTACACCACTTTTCAGATGCTTGTGTACATGGCTATGGCCAGTGTTCCTATTTAAGACTAGTCAATGACAAACAACAAGTACACTGTTCTCTTGTTATAGCAAAGTCTAGGGTTGCTCCTTTAAAGATTATTACTATTCCCAGACTTGAGTTGACTACTGCTGTTGTTTCTGTTAAGGTTAGTAGCTTGTTACAACGAGAACTAGACTTGAACAATGCTGTAGATTACTACTGGACAGATAGTAAGGTTGTTTTGGGTTATATAGCAAATGATTCTCGTCGTTTTCATGTATATGTAGCTAATCGTGTGCAGCAAATCCATAATCACTCTGATGTTTCTAAATGGAACTATGTGAATACGAAAGAGAATCCGGCAGACATGGCATCTCGAGGTGTTTCTGTATCGTCCCTTGTAAACAGTGCTACTTGGTTCTTCTGGTCCTGAATTTCTTTGGCAATCAGAAATATTGCCAATCTAGTGAGAACATACCTTTAAGCTTTCAGATGACGATTTGCGAATTGCGGAAAGTTCAGGTCTTTAACACAAGTTCTGACGTGGTTAGTTGTTATCAAATATGTGAGAACATGCAATATTTATCTGATTGGGTTCGTTTAAAAAGGGCCATAGCACTTTGCATTAAGTATATCAAAATTCTAAGACAGCTTGTGAACAAAAACAGTGAGCTCATGAACAAATAATTGTAATGAGGGTATCTCAAACCAACATGACAAAACTATTCATACAGGTAAGTCAGCTTGTTGAAGCAGAACATTTGATTATTAAGTCTGTTCAAGCAAAAGCCTTCACTGAAGAGCTAAATTTGCTGAAGGGTAGAAAGTAGTGCGCATATTGTTGATAGACAACAAGCTGTTAAAGGTCAAAAAACTATTTTCTTAAGAGTAATTCGAGTCTTTTATCGCTTGGATCCCTTTTTTTGACACTGATGGTATTCTTCGTGTAGTTGGTAGACTAAAAAATGCAGAAATGGTTACTGGATTGAAACATCCAATAATATTACCAAAAGAAAGTCATGTTACAGAATTAGTTATAAGACACTGTCATTTACGTGTTAATCATCAAGGGCGCGGAATGACAAGTAATGAGATTAGGTCTAATGGCTTTTGGATTGTTGGACTTAGTTCAGCTGTTTATAGTTTCATCAGTCGTTGTGTAACTTGTCGTAGGTTACGAGGTGGTAATCAAGTGCAAAAGATGGCAGATTTGCCTGAGGATAGGTTAGAACCTTCACCTCCCTTTACGTACAGTGGAGTTGACTATTTTGGGCCGTGGTTAATAAAAGAGGGTCGAAAAGAATTAAAACGTTACGGTGTGGTTTTTACTTGCTTGTGTTGTCGTGCTGTTCATTTAGAATCCGCTAACTCTTTAACAACCGACTCGTTTATTAATGCTTTGCGCAGATTTTTAGCTGTACGTGGTCCAGTTAGAGTGTTAAGGTCAGACAGGGGAACAAATTGTGTAGGTGCTGAACGTGAATTAGCTAATGCTTTGTCTGTAATGGATATTTCACAAGTTCATATGTTTTTGCAAAAGGAAGGTTGTGATTTTATAGAGTTTAAAATGAATGTTCCAAATGCTAGTAACATGGGTGGTGTTTGGGAACGTATGATACGTTCTGTTAGAAGCATACTATCATCATTATTGTATCATCACGGCGCTCAGCTTGATGATGAAAGTCTGCGTACATTTATGTGCGAGACGGCTGCGATTATTAACAGCCGCCCACTTTCACCTCAAAATTTGAATGATCCTTTATCTTCAGAACCTCTTACACCAAATCATTTACTTACCATGAAATCAAAAATACTGTTGCCACCTCCTGGTAAATTTTTGAAGACTGACTTGTATTCAAGAAAGCGATGGAGACGTATTCAGTATTTAGCTAACGAATTTTGGTGTAGATGGCGCAAGGAATATCTGCAAAACCTTCAAGTTCGTAATAAGTGGGTTGTTCCAAAGCGCAATTGTTGTGTAGGTGATGTTGTACTTATTATAGATGACAATCAACCAAGATGTCAGTGGCGTATGGGCAGAATTGTTGAATTGTACCCTGATTCAGATGGTCTAGTTCGTAAGGTTAGACTGTATGTTGGTACTTCAGAATTAAATAGTGAAGGGAAACGTGATACACTGTCATATTTGGATAGGCCAGTAAATAAGTTAATTGTACTTTGTGAAAATGTGTGATTCCCCGTCGAGGAGCCGTTTACTTTGTAGTAAAAAAGGGGAACTGTTCAGTGATTTCAGTTTGTTTGTTATGTTGTATGTATTATATTTTTTATGATACTGTCCTGTGAACAATTTTTGCGGATTAAATTTTTGCAATTTTGCTGATACTGTAAACTAAGTAATTTTTGCGGCTTTTATTTTTGAGAATTGGCCAAAACCGTAAAGTAATTTTGCGAGCTTGGTTTTTGCGTATTTGTATTGACTTGTTATATAAAATAATCTGCGTCAGCTTAAGAGTTCTATGTCTATTTAGGATTAATTTAGACTATTTTGCGAAAGCTGTTTTTAGTATTTTGCGTAATCTTTTTCAAAAAATAAGATTCCTTATTTTTGGGGAGCCATGTTACGGTATCTGTACGGCATCTGTTCGGATTATATACTTGTTTTAGTATTTGCAGAGTTACATCCCCTTGACTGTTTCCGCCATGGTTTGATATTTTCTTGGGCGAATTTGTCGTAATTTTTAATTTTAAATAAATTACTGCGATCGACAAATATTGGGAAATGGAGAGGCAAGGAGGTAAATAAATAACGGATTGCTGTTTTCTGCTATTTTAATTACGATGGCAATGCCAAATAATCCGGATGTAAACAGATGTATTTTATTGCATTTTTCGATTGTTCTCAATAGCCGCCATTTTACGTCATGATTTAAAAGGCAATCGTATGTTGCAATCATATGTTTTGACTTTAAACTTTTAAATTGTAATAATTTGTTTTGATTTATTTCAGTTTTCACGGAGACTGTTGGACATAATTAAATATCGAAAATTCAACAAGTCTTGTGTTTGTTGCCCTTGCAATTCTCCACAATTTCTGCGAAAACTACAACTCAGTTGTTGTAATAATGACCAAAAATCTTGCGAAGTTTGTAAATCTCCATTGAAATCATTTTTGAATCACTACTGAATTTTGAGATTAAATAAAAGTTACGATTGTTTAATTTTGTAAAATATCTCATAATTTATAAAAGCGGTAGCCCTGTTTGAGTTGCTTGCTAGCAATGAAAATATTTAGCTTATTAAAATCCTTCACGTTGCTAAAAGCTCTAGCAAATCTAATTAATTGAGATACATATATATATATATTACGTCAGATGTTGCATGCGGTACGTCTCATCTAAATGTGGATAGTTTACTATACCATAATCAAAGTTTTCACTTTAATCAAAGATTTTTGTGTGAATAAATTGCTTTAAATAGTACATTTTGTAATATGAAGAGCCAAAATAAAGTTTAAACGTAGGTTAATTACCCCCCCCCCCAATACTATTTGCAACTGAAATTTGCCGCGGTTGGCCGTGGGTTGTATATCATCCGGGGGTGAAGGTCAATTGACGAAGGCATCGTACTCAAAATACGACGTCAGGTACCTATCCTGTGACCTTCGCGTGTCTTGCTGGTAAACTTCTTTGTACAAAATTGCATTTTTGAGGTGACTTCGTGTGTGTATCGGATGCGATCGCGTGACCTTCGGTTGGAATCGTGTGTGGCTCGGATGCAATTGCGTGACCTTTTGTATGAATCGTTCTTGTTTCGGATGTTGAGAGACTGTCGACCAATTTCGGGGCTATCTTCGCACGAAATAAAAAAATTTCATACTGTATGCCCATCAGGTGTCAATTTCGGGACAGTGTGACGCCTGCATAAGGGTTGTCCATTTTCTGCCCGAACTTTATCACGACGGTTTCCACGATAAAAAAACATAATTTTTAGTATCATACTAATCCTTTCTAATTAATAAATACATACAATTTATAAGAGAAGAAACTTTGGAACGTAGATGCATCTTTAAGCTTTCTTATATTTGAAAAAATAATATAGTAATTGAAATATCAAGTTTGCCGTTATGGAGTCATAACTCGTTTCTTTCCGTTTCATTTTCACGCTTTTTGTTATAAACAATGACTTTAGAAATTAATAAAAGATCAGTTTTGAATAAAGTTATGTTCAACTTTTGCTTGTAACATGTCAATATCCTGTTATGATGTTTCTTTAAGTGTACTCCATTCTTTTTTTGTCATTAATTCTAAGAACATATAAAACAAAGCACACTATTTTAGCTACAATGATGCTTAAAAAGGCGTTTGCTATAGTTCTTACTAGTGCTATAGTTCTAACTAGTTTATACAGTTAGTAATAATATTAATAATTAATAATATATTCTTATTGATCGCGTTTAAAGGTAAAAGCTTATCAAAACACCATCAAAAACGTTCCTAAAACCACCAATGGGTGGCAAGTTTCTTGCACACGGGGTTTGAAAACACGCGGCCAGCAATCCTTACTAGTCCGACGCGATAACCACTCGGACACGCCGCAAATCAACAGTTTGTATTGCCATAAAGTCAGAACAAAAAATTTGAAAACAGTTGAATTTTGTCGGTATGTAGTTTAATTAAGTTAAATACATGTCAGCTAACATAAAAGTTTTATTAATTCGGAAGTTTTTCATATACATGTTTATACTATGTGAAAAAATTTTAGCTGCACGATTCATGTGTCATATATATGAAGAAATATATAATATTCAAAGAACATGTTTCAGTCTTTTCGTATTGTGCTTTATTACTGTCCTTTACTAAATTGAAGATTGTTACCAATGAAAAATATATCTGAAATTGTTGTGAAAGAAGTTTAATCCATTAATGTGTTCGTTTCTGTAAATTTGTCTGTGAGTATCCCCCCAGGGAGAAGCCTACAACAAAGTTCTTCTTAAAATGAAATTAAGATAGATATAACAGAAGAAACTGCATACTTTATATTCTACATGCAGCTGTTTTTATAATCATTTGTGCTTATAACGTTTTAACATTTTACAATAGATGCAAAGTTAAATTATTGTGTAACTAAATTATTCTAATCTCAATCATATAGTGTAAATGCATTACGTTCCTACATTTTGTTTTAAAAAAAAGTTATAATACTGGCTGTAAAACAAAATTAGGAGCGAGTAAGTTAACATAATAAATTAATGCAGTTCCTTTCAACTAGCTTGAATATGCAACATAACAGTACATAAAATGGATGAATTATTATTTGTGTTTTCAAACACTGCGACGTGTTAATTAAAAAGAACTGTCACGCAAGTGACGAATACCCCATAAAAGGTTTCTTAAGCATTGAAGAAAGGTATGATAAAAAGAAAAGAGAATGAAAGTAAATAATTGCTTAATATTGTGCTTGTGAAACGAAGTACTATTTATAGCAAGCTTACCACCTTGGGACATATGTCCTGGTTTGCGATACATCATTTTGATGTGGTAGACATTTATGCCAAGTGATTTTAAAATCCTTCAAAGCATGACCATGTTACATTTTGGAAACAAGTGTGTATCTCCAAACTCTTCTAATGAACATAAGTACCTTCAAACTATTAGAGTGACAATGACCCGTACATTTAATCAATGATGTTATATTTTCGATCCTTGAAAATCGTTCAGCACGACATTACTGTTGTGCTTGTGGTATTTTTAGTTTCAACTTTTCGGCATTTTCTAGTTGGGTGGTTCCAATATTCCTACTTGAATAATGTTGAATCACCCTTAGGATATGTAGCCTGCTTTTTAAATTTGTCTTTAGACGGTCTTATATGTGATACGCAGGCTTCATCACCTCTGATCCCCTATCAAAATTCCATTTTATTTAGTTCCGCCCAATGTTTTCTCGTTTAGGGCACACGCTTTTTAATACTTGGGACCATACGCCGCTTTTCATTGAATGGCACGGAAGTGTCACTTTGAAGATTCCATGACAACCGCCGTATGAACACATCTGCGGATGTTTCTAAATACAAAATTTTACTATTTCATGTTTAAATGTTGAATTCTGCTTAAGCCGGACGGTAACTTGCACTTTCCAGTACCGTCCATGAACAGGCTCAATCAAACCGAGCCTGCAACATTTTCAATTTTGCCGTGTTGGGCTTTCTTTAGGGATTCTGTATTTATCTATATTTGGAGGTAGGGGCATGGGTCTTACAACACATCGTCTTGATGTGGTAATTTAAAACTCTTGGATGCATGACAAAGTTACAGTCCAGACACGAATATGTCTCTTTTAACTTTTCTTGAAAAACCTTTTAACTGTAAGGGTGACCTTAAAGGTAGGAACATGGGTGTGGAACGCAACATGTCGTCTCCATGTGGTAGACATATATGCTACGTTATTTAAAAATCATTCCGTGCATAAAAAAGTTACATCCCAATACAAATGTGTGTACCTTTAAACTCTACTGTGGACAATGTGAAACCTCCAAACTGTAATTGTGATCTTGACCTACGACTAACGGACATGGGTCTTAAATGGAACGCATCATCATTTTGTGTTTCACTTTTGTGTCTAGTAATTTTAAAATCATTCTATGCATCACAAAGCTACAGTTTAGACACAAATGTGTGCCTTCAACCACTAAGTGTGAATTGACCTTTAAGGTTGTGATATAGGACTTAGCCGCGACATATGTGGTCGACACTTGTGCAAAGATATTTAAAAAAAAATATGAAAAACAAGATCAACAAGGAAAGGCGGCGTTCAATGAACGCAACCCCCATATGACCCAGCAACAAGAACCAACGGCAAGGAGCCCAGGCGGACCCCAAACATAAAAAGGACAGGGCAACGACACGTTAATCATTAAATGATAAATAATTTGTAACTGATTAGGAATTCAAAGAAAATAATAATAGGCCCACAAAGGGGAAGGGGACAGAAGACCGGGGGAAGGGGGGGGGGGGTAATCAAAGAAATAAAAACTAGAGGCAAAGGGGAAGATACTTACCGTAGACGAGAAAACAACAAGGGACCAAGCAAAAGTGTCACCAAAACAGTATGAAACAACATAGACATACATCTGAGGAACACAGTGGGGCGCCGCCTTGGAACGGTCAGCAGCATAATAATGACTGCTGGGGAGTTTAAACCGGTTAATGGTGCACCAAACCTCGCTCTTAGCCCCAC